AACCTCCTGAAAAAGCGTCGGAAGCTGCTGAGAAACCCATTACTGGAGAAAATGTTGAGATTATGATCGGAGACCCATTCTTAAATGGTCTAATGACCCCTGTCGGAGTCTATGACGGAAACCCGACTAGCTCATTTTCTAAATTTTTCCAGCGATTTATGGATGCTCTAAATTTAATAATTACCCCTCTAAATGAAGCACAAAAGCTTAGTCGTCTAAAAGTGTGCCTGGGAGGTCGCGCTCGTGCTGAACTTGATGCTAAATTCCCACAACCAGCTACTCTGCAAGAAGCTATAGATTTCTTGCAAGAAAAATTCGTAAATGGACATTCTCGTACAGTAGCTCGCCAAGCCTTATCTATTATTAAACAAGCACCTGGCGAAAGAGTTTTTGAATTTGCGCAGCGTTTAAATGACGCAGTACGTGCTGTAATGATTGGATATGAAGAAAATACGATACAACAGCGATTGCTAGATGAATTTTTGGATCGGCTTATGCCAGACCTTCAATTCGAAGTTAAAGCTGCTAGACCTGATGACTATTCAAAGGCATTCGAAGTTGCCGAACATTTCGAATTACTATTGAACGAAAAACGCCAAAAACATCAATATGTAGATTTAGCAGAAAAAGTGGAAGCCCTAGCAATTAATCGGTCTAGAGAAATAAGACGCTTATGCTATTACTGCCATAAACCTGGACATGTAATAGCGGATTGCCGAAATAGATCAAGAAAAAATTATAAATCCCGCCAATATAATAATTATGAGCGAAGAAATTATCAAAATAATTATTGGGAAAATAGACAAAATTATAGAAATGAATATAATAGAGATAACAGCAGATATAATGATAGAAATCGCGAAAATTCTAGAGAAAGTTCACCAAATAATTATAGCCGCTCGCCCACTAGAAGAGTGAGATTCAGCGAAAGCCGAGTTGCAAGTCCATTAAGAATATCTAGCCCTTATTTGCTAACAATTTTTGCACTTATTGCTATTATAAGTCCCACTTTGGCTAGCTATGGAGCACAAATTGAAATGAATTGTCCCGCATACTCACCCTTTACCTTTAAAGAGAAAACAATAAACAACAATTGGGAAATAACAGAATTACCTAAAGAGAGCATATTAAGCACAAATTATATGAGATTGCTTACATTAAATCAGATTTTGATATTTCTAGCTCTTCTAGGTGTTAGTACTGTACTATTTTTACTAATGTTTTTCATAAAACCAATTTTATTTAAAATAATTAAAAACCTGCGAAAAAATAAAAAGTCTGAGCCAGAGAAAGAAATTAATGTTGCAGAAATCGCACCTGGTTATGACAATACATGCGATGAATGGTTTAGAATAAAAACAAAAATAAATGGAAAAGAAATAATTTGCCTATTAGATTCAGGAGCACACGTATCCCTGACTGGAAGAGAAACCGCAGAAAAATTAAAAATAAAGGAAATCTTTCCCGCTGATTTAAGCGCCATAGTTGGTATAGGAAATAAAATTGTACCCACGCTTGGCCAAGGAGAAATAATTTTTCAAATAGCAGGTTGTGAAATTTTAACGCAGATTGTAATATTAGAAAATGAAATTAGTAAAACAGGAAAATATGATGTAATTATTGGAAGAGAAACCCTGAAAAGCCTTCCATTATTCCTAGATTTACAAACAGGTAAATTAATCGCGAAATCGTTAATTAAAAATTGTCAAATAAAGGAAATGGAGAAAATACAATTAAAATTAATAGAAAATAATAAATTTAAAAATATTCGCGATATTAAAAATATTTCCCAAATAAAAAATGACTTGAGCACACATACTAACTTAACAAAACCAAGTCCAAAACAAACTTATCAGGAAAATACCCAATTATATAAAAAAGCAAGAAAAAAGTGGGTTGAGGACAAATATGAGATAAGACCCCCTAATTTTAAAATGGGAGAATCGGCAAAGACAGCAGGACCTTCGAAAAAAGACTACATCGATCATCAAAAGATAAGACTCCCAATGTCAAAACAACAGACAGGACGAGCAAAAACAAACAAGGAAGGAAACCAGAAAGTGAATGGACAAATGCCGCAGTGTAAAAAGATAAGAAATCGTGTCCATCCTTAATTTAAAGATGAACATAAAAAAAAACAACTAAAATTTTCCCTACCCCAATTTCCTTATAAAATAATCACTTAAATCCCCTTAAATAATTTCACCTATAATTTTTTTTCAGTCTGTAATCAAATTTAAAAATTTTTCTATACCCCTTTAAAATTCTTGTCGGAGAAAAGTATGTCAAAAAAAAATTCAATCCCATAATTGGAGAAGTATAAAAATAAATTAAAAAAAAATACAAGAGGAGAACTTAAAAAAAAATCCCTCGATTTAAAGAAGCTAAAGTAGAACCTTAAAATGGCTTCTAAAATAAAATTTTTTGTTTTAAAGAATGCAATTTGTAGCAAATAAACAAATTAAAAAATAGATAAAATATAATCTCCTCCGTTTAATTTAATAAGCATGACGTGGACGTCATCTTAATTAAGGGGGAAGGAATGCTGCATTCGCATAAACAAATAAACAAATTAAAAAATAGCTTTTCTCAAAAATATAAATAATGATAAGAATTGACCTGCCATCTCAATTAAAGAGATTCCCGACTTTCCCAATCTAATATTTATTACCGACCAATCTTTATCTCTTAATATTCACATTTTGTATTAATATTTATTAACCCATTTCTCGACCTGTCCATCCCAATAACAATATTTGTTTGCCTAAATTTCCACTATATATATCCGCCACATTTTCACCTATTTCGTCTTATATTGAACTTTACCTTTTAACTTTTAACTCTTTAATTTATAATATTATAACCCCTTGAATAAAAATATATTTAATCTTCATTTGACCAAGGCTTAGAACCGAGGGTAATTAGAGTGAACTTACAAACAGTTCAGATTTCAAGAAATCAACTCTTCACATTGTAAAACTTTAAAAATTTAAATAATTTTCGGTACTTTTCCGTTATCCCTACTCCTTTTTGCGGACTTTTTTTGCGGACTACTTTATGTAGAGAATGGTCAGACAAAAGAATGGTTCTAATAGTGAACATGCCACAGAAAAATTGAGTGAAATTAAGGAAAGGTGAAAGTCTGCCCATTCTTTACATAAGGCAGTCCGCGAAAAATGTGCGCAAAAAGGGGTAGGGATAACGGAAAAGTACCCAATTTTCTAAATTTAAAATTTTAGTTATTTTCTGGTGTTACTTCTGATCGTTTCCTCTTAATTTACTCAAATTTCGATCCGGCTGCTGACCAACCTCCGTATTTTGACTTTTTTGTTGATGACGCTGTACGCTATCATGAAGATAAAGACGGCGTAGAATTGAAGAATATAGACAGAAACGTGAAGCTGAGAGACTCGAAGCGATACAGCGTGGAGAACAACCACGTAGACCTACTAGAGCACGCCCTAAAGTAGCTGAAAGAGATGGGGAAAAAATTTATTTTTCGGTTAGTTTTTATTTTATAAAGGCTTTTAATTTTTTTCGCGTTTTTGTAGGCAGTTTTTGCTGATAGTATAGTTAGTTCAAGAGTTGAGGTTGTTTTTCTGTTTACTCAAAATATTCCTTGTCAGGACAACTCACCGTCCGACCAAATACCGTCCACCTACTAGAGTATAAAACACCGTCCAGTTTGCTTTGAGCAAAAATTTTTGAAATAAAATTTTCAGGGATACATGTTATAGGACTAATCAAGGTATCCAAAGATATACATAATATCGACATAAATCGAATTTGTTATCAGTAAAAGTGGACGGTGTTTTTTACTCTAGCGTCCGGACGGTATTTGGTCAGAAGGTGAGTTATCCCTTACCCAAATATTCAATATTTTTTTCTAAATTTAGTGGAGTCCAGGTCCAGACCACCACAACTGAAAAGATGATTAAGAAAGAAAATCCAAGTTTGAGATATCCAATGATTCATTAATTAATTTATTAAAAAAAATTTTTTTTGGCTTTCAATTTGTAAAAATGTTTTAATTTAATTTTTTTATTTTTTTTATTGAATTGACTAGATATAGTCCTGTATTTATTTAATTTTAATATGTTAATTTTTTCCTTGTGTTTTAAGGATGTTATTGTTAAAGACGAGTAATCCCCTTGTTGCTTTACGCTTTTTTTCAAGGACAAGTCAACTTTTGGTAAAAAGAAGTTTGTTTTTTTCATTTAAAAAATTAAAAAATTCTTGTGGTTAATTTTTAGGAAATTTTAAATTTGGAAAATGGGTTTTTCGCCTTAGGGATTATCCGCAGAGTTTCTATAGATTTTTGCTGATGCTTTGTATAAAAATTTGCCTGGGCATTTTTATAATCCCTTTTTTATACCCTTTTGGAATTTCTAGTAATTCATTCTCCAATTTTAATATTTGAGGGAAATTCCGATACTTGTAGATTATCTCATATCAGTTCTTGCGGACAAATTTTGCGGACACATTTATGTATAGAATTTTTTTCTTCCTCGATTTCACTCAATTTTTCTTGTAGCTTCATTTAATGGAAGACATTAACCACAAGGACTATTGAGTAAAATCGAGGAAGAAAGAAAACCATTATAAATGTGTCCGCAAAATTTGTCCGCAACTGGTATGAGATAATTCACAAGTACAGAAATTCCTCTGTAAAAATATTTTCTGCTTCGAAAATTCGTTTTGAATTACTCTTTAATTCAAATTTAAAAACTTTTTAAAAATATAATATTTTCCCTTTTTTTAGTAAAAGAATCGGTTGAAGGTGATTTAACTATAGTTGAATTGGAATCTTTGCCTGAAACACAAAAATCTTCAAAATTTGGACCTTCCAAACTTCCCACTGTTTGTCAATCAGTATTTTTTGTAAAATTATTTTTAAATTTTTTAAAAACAAATTTTAGGATGTTCAGACGTGTAATTGTCCTTTGTGCAAAATTTCTGTCAAAATTTCCTACCAAGATGTTCTCATTTTGGAGCAATTTATGAGGTTGGATGGGACTGTTCTTCCAAGGGAGTTGACAGGTTTGCAAGTTTTTTTAATTGTTTTTTTTTCTGATTGAATTTTTATTGAGAGTTTTCTCATTAAAAACGAGTTTAGAAATAAGAAATAGAAAATTTAGGTTACAACTTTTCTAATGTTATGCTCATATAAAAGTTGCCTATAGTTCTGGGACACAAAATATTCCAGTCGCGAGCTTTTCATCTTCTTCCCATTTTTATGTAAACAGCAAATTTTAAGGGTTAGAAACTTTCATATATCAGTTAAATTTTGTCTAGTGCCCGGCGCCGGACCGGATCCGGCCGGATTTTTCCGGAGTCCGGGTCCCAAATCCGGGTTTTTTTTGAAATTTCCGGATTAAAACCGGACCGGATTTATCCGGAAAAATCCGGCTGGATCCGGTCCGGCTCAAGTTTCAAATCCGGATCCGGGTCCGGCAAAATCGATTTTGCCCAATTTTGCTAATCTCCTTCATTTTTTTTTAAAAAACTAAGTTTAATTACTTGAGACATTCCAAAAATTTTGTGATCGTTTTTAAATATTATAGAGATAATTAACCGCAATTTTCCCTCAATTTTAAAAATTGTCCGCAACTTTAACCTTTTGTCTGCAAATTTTAAAACTTTTATTTTCTCTTGATTATCCCCAACATTTTTCATAAAATTTCCTTTTAAAAATATTTTTTCTATTCAGGTTTATGTTCTGAACAACAACAACGCTTAGAACGTTGTGTAATGGAAGCGCATTGGTCTGGACTGTTCCCTGACCGAACAATTCCCGAATTTGACCGTTCTGGCTATAAACGTTTTAATAGACATTGGGATGATGATTCTGCAATGTTTCGACTTGAATACAAAATGCAGCCTGGAAGTTGGTTTTATATTAAAAGATATAATCCTAGAGCGGCATTGTACAAGAAGAGGGAAGAAGAGGCTACTGGATAAATTAATTTTTGGTTGTTTAAATTTAATTTTTTTTTGTTTTTCTTTGAGGTGGTAAAATTGAGAGGGTTTTTGAGTATTTTATTTATATTTTTGAACTTTTCTAGGACCCGATTAGGCTTTTAAATTTAAGCTCTTTTGAATAACTTATCGTTTGTATGAATCATTTCCCGAGATGTATTACGGAATTTTACCAAACCGACAATTAAAAAACCCGGCAACATCCCATAAACCTATCAACTTGGCCCTTTACTCTTAAAAATTGTCGAATGATGAGTACTAGAGATCGGTCTGGGTCTGGACCAAGGCCTGGGGTTTTCCTGTACTCAGAGTCCAGGCCCAGGCATTTTCCGACCTTCCAGGGTTACTCCTGGACTACAGGCTCAGGATCCACCAGCCCAGGTCAATAAATCAAACCCAGGAACAGGTCCAGGCTTTTCAAAAATTCCGGTCTCTAATAAGTACACAAATTATTAAAAAAATAAAAGAATTTAATCAATAAATATTTAATCTTTTTTACAAAAAGGTTTTGATTTTGACCAAATACTTTCATTTCTGCATTCAAGAATGTTTTCATTGTTGAGATTATATCCTTTATCGCAATAATAAAATATCCGTTCGCCAACCTTTTTATTTTCAATTTTTATTTAAATTCATTTAAGCCTCACCAAATAATGATCCTTTGGAGGGTGGATTGTATTTCCGTGTTTAATTTGTCCAGGGAAACGACAAATTTGCTCGCATCGTGTTCTAAGTTAATTTGGGGATATTAAAAGTCAGGAAGAATTAGAATACCTCAATTCACTCCAATATCCATCTGGTTGACAGAGTAAAAAATCAGACCCTTAATTTTTACATAGAGATTGCTAGGCGCTGTATACATAGTATCGAGTAGGCATTAGAGATCGAACTGGGTTTGGACAAAGGCCTGGGGTTTTCCTGTACCCAGAGTCCAGGCCCAGGCATTTTTTACATTCCTGGGGTTTTCCTGGACTTCAGGCCCAGGATCCGGCCCAGTCAATAAATCAAACCCAGAGTCCAGGAACAGGCCTCCATCGCCTCTTAGCAGTTATTGCTAGGCGCTTTCGCTCCTCAAGTAAGGCGCTGCTCTACCGACGGAGCCACCACAATGATGCTCTTACCTTCTCTTTTAATAGATCTTAAACCTCGCCTAGCAGATTCTTTAAATACTAACCAATTAGTCTCCCCTCTCCCTTACCAGTGTCAATTAAAATATTAACGAACCAGTTAACAAATAAGACTGTGGACATTGAAGCAACAATAAATGCCCAACACTAAACGTGATAGGATTCATCTCAGAAGTCGATGAGAACGATGGAACGTGGGTTTTAACAAAAATAGGTGGAGGTAATGAAGGCATTGAACATTTAATTTCTTTGAATAATAAGGTAATTGTCTCCCTACAGCAATTATACCTCTACATTTAGGCAACTCTTCCTCCCAAAGGCCGTCTAAACCGCATTTAAAGGTAGCCCTTCCAATTAATTCATGTGTCGGATTACAACTACAATGTGCTGATCCCCCAGGTCTATAACTGCTTACTTGACAATGTAATTGAGGATGGTGGAGAATAATCGGAGGGCATTGAATGTCTTAAAAGAAGGAATGCATCTTTCCTGTTCTAGATAATTATTTGGAAAGGAACTAACGAGTGCATGTTGGAGCTAGCTGAGACCAATGGCCGCCTTCCAAACAAATCTTAAATTAAAATTTATTTTCAAAATGTTCTCGGATCCCACGTGTAAATATACCTAATACATTTTAGGACTCTATGTATAATTGGGTTGGTCAAGGGATGTGAGGAAAAAATTAAGTAATACCTCCAGTAATGGATACTGGAGATCGGTATTTTCAAAAAATCCTGGATCTGGATTCTAGATCCAGGAAAAATCCAGACTAGATCCAGATTCAGACCGATCTCTAATGAGTACTAGAGCTGCCAATACTAAGGTTTTTAAGGTCATAAGGTTTTTCCGGTTTTGGTCTCGAATCCTGGGGTGCAGTCTTGGTCTTGGAAAATTTTCGGTCTTGGTTCCTAATGGATATTTTACATCAATTCTTAACCCTAAGGATGTATTCCCAAGTAAGGTGTCTTTATCCAACCAGAGGGCGTTGATTGAGAATTTGATATCCCGAAGAGCAAGAAAACTGTGCAACTGTGCCCAAAAATAGATGCGATTTGTTTGTGAGATGAGGGCCAGCAGTTGACGAGTAATGAATATTTAAGGTTGGGGAACTATTGGCTATGGGTTGACAATACTCATCTGAGGAATTTTAAAAGATTTATTGAAACTTTGAATGGACACACCTCTAATTTGGAGGTGTAAACTATTACGTCTATTATTTGGTAGAATACAATGAAATGGACCACTATCTTCAGGTTGTGCAATTAAAATAGACAACTAAAATATAAATTAGATAAGCCTTTATGATTACTAGAGTTCGACACTGGGCCGGGACCAAATAGCCAGGAAAGCTGATATTTTGATAGGTCCACCCAAGAAGGTCGAAACTCAGAAGGTCAACACCCCAGTGGTCAGCTGACTCTGGAGGTCAACTTCAGATATTTGGGCGGATATTTGGGACTCCTTAATCCCACCAAATCCATCATAATCTGCACTAATCCATCTTTATCTGCCCAAATATTTGGAGTTGATCTTCTGGGTCAGTTGACCACTAGGGTGTTGACCTTCTGGGGTTCGACCTTTTGAATTAATCCCATATTGATAATCCGGTTTTTCCGGGGTTTCGAAATCTTGGCCTGGAAAATCCGGTCCGTGTCTGATTAAAAGAAAACCCCGGACGACCCGGCAATTTGAAAATGTTGAACTCAATATATACTAAAAATGTACTTGGAGGACGCTGAAGTTTACAAATCTTTGCTGATTCACTTCTTTAATCCATTCCTAAAGAACAAACACATGTTAATTTTGAATATCTATATATACTTGGGGATAACTTCGATAACTTGAGAAACTTTCCCATCGTGGCTTTCCACTGTCCATTTGATAAAAACAGAAAAGTTGGACCGTAGAAGAGCTTGTTTATAAAGAAATTAAATAGAAGTCTATAATACCGACTGACTAGAAGAACACCGGTTGGTGAAATACTCCATTGGCCAGAAACCTTAAAAGTGGATTCTGTCTTTAAAATAGAGACAGACCTCATTTATACATAGATACCAGGGATGTGCCTAGTCCCACAAAATACGAGTCACGAGATACGAGATTAAACCCACCCCTGATAGATACACCCGTAGGGCAGATAAATTGTGCCTTATAATCAGAGGTGGGTTGGAACAGTCAGAGGTGTCGGAAATAAGAAGAGCCGAAATCGGAATTCCGACCCACCTCTGCTTTTAATGTATTATCTTGAATAAGGGTTATGTCTAGATCCACCAATGTTTTGTCTAAATTTATTGAAGCAGACAAGGACACAAACAGAAGTTTATCAAAGGAATAAAGTTGATGGGGCTGTTGGAGAGAATTGTTGGGACAACAACCAACTCAATGATCAACATACATTTATCTGAGACTGGGCTGGAGTGTCGTACGAGGATCGAGGTCTAGAAAAATTCTCGAACTCGATAACCGAGATTTCCGAGCGAGATCTCGTCTCGGTCCGGTCTCTGCTTTTATCTAACATTAATGTCTCCAGTATCGAGCGTATTTAGTATAGGATGTATCTTATAATGAGGTCCATCTTTATTTTAAGACCAATCCAAGCGTTAACCTGAAATTCGATTGGCGGCGGCTGTTGGTCATTAGCCTTAGTTCTGTCTAATCTTTGACAATAAGGAGGTGGAGGAAGCCATTCCCCATTACGGCAAACACTCTAAATAACAACTTCAAATTTTAACTTAAAAAATAGTCTTTACAAAGCTAGGTCCTCTCAATAAATCCATTGAATAATTTGCACAAGAAAAAAGGAGCTTAGAACCATTAGGGAAATTCTGATTGAAAAGAACAAATTGGCGACTCTGTTCGTGAAAAACATTTAATCGCGCAACGTCTCGAGGGAAATTCAGAGAGCCTCGTGGAGGGGTAAATTTGAATTGGCAATTAGTTGATAGGTTAACTGAAAATTATAGGGGTAAATTTTGGGATTTTCAATAGACCATTGGGGCATTCAATTCGATTGTAGACTTGCCATTTGCCTTGTTTACACTTCCACAATTCAAAATGGTCTAAACGTAGTTGATTGAGAGGGTTTGTACATTTTACCTTTAAAAATTAAAATATTTCTATTAGTCTGGCCTCTCTATTTTACGCCCACCCTCAATATTTGGGTACAATTTTTTGATGGAATTAAGTCAGCAACGATTGTCTCTTCACTCAGGGCGTGCCCTTTGTTTAAGTGCTAACAAGAACTGCACTAAAGCAGACCACCAACAATGCCAAAATTTTCGCGTGTCGCGCCAAAAAACGAAAATCACGCCAAACGCCAAAAATCGGCCAAAAATGGACGCCAAACGCAAAACGCCATGACACACAGCCCTGGTGCAGGTATCGAACCTGAGTCTCCCGTTAACTGGAAGTCGGGTCTGTTAAACACGAAACCTCTTCCATAAAATGGAGCTCTATTTCAACCCCAAGGGTGTACGTAAAATCGAGGATGTATCCAATTAATTTACAAACCAGAAGAGAAGTACTGGCCGGGAATCTAATACCAGACTTATTCAAAATATTCCCAAATTGTTTTAATTGTTGATCATTTCTCGCAAGAGAATAATTAAAATTAAAATGCAATTCCTTTCCTTTTGGAAGGTTTAAAGCAAAACATTCATCCATATTTTTATTCCCTTTTAATGATTTATTCTCAATTTTTGAACGTTCATGTTCTTCTACACAAGGTAATAGAAGAGCCGTCCATTCACCATTTATGCACTAAAAATGAACTTTTAACCTAATTATAGGATACACCCAAAAATAGATTTACTTTTATCATGATCGGTTTATCAAAAGTTGGGCTGGTTATAATAT